CCTACAGGTCAGTGAGATCTTCACTAAATTCACTGCTGAGGGCAGGACAAATGGGCACGATGGTCTGCTCAGTTATCTAACTACCCACCAAGTCCTTTTGATTTTTCTTACGGTTAATGTGCATCTTCATTTTGTGTTACAAACATTCAACTCTGTAGCATGATGAAAGCTTTCTGTTGTATAATTAATATTCTTTTCACTTCTAAATCCTATAAATTGTATATGTCAACTTATACATCTAAATAATACATGGCACGTGTTCATGTCTGTAGTGAGTTAAGCAGACAGACAAGGGTCCTCTTAATAAATTCTGGTATGTATTGTACATCGTTGAAAATTGATTCAGTGGATCTTTCTAAATCACATGAATACAGTTTCCATGTAGACTATAAGATAAAACCATGTACGATTTTTTTCTTTTTCTCTCTCAAGGACTTCCATTAAATGAGCTTCACTTTTACAATCTAGCGACTGTAGGAAGGAATCAATATGAAAAAGTAAGTCCCTCCACACTTTCTTCCACAAGTCAATCTATTACTGCACAGTTCTGTCACCTGTTTTTGCCCACCATCTATTCTAGCATAATTCATTTTATGTATTGTTTGACTAAGAGGCAAAGATGCCTGCTTCTTCAGCAGCTGCAAATGTTCACATAAATTGAAACAGAAAGAGGGTTTATTACAGCTGACAACAGATTTAGCCACACAACTCTTGATAGCCTCAGTCAAGCCAGAATTAAATCTCATCACTGTGTAAATTCAACGTTTTGGGATTTTTCTAATTGTTTTTCAGACATTTGGAATAGGCAGCATATGTATTGCCTCATCTTAGAGCATTCTCTCTAAAGACTGAGTATTTAAATCTACTTAATCTGGTATGGCATAAAAGATCACTATTTTAAACAGCCAAATATTCCACAATAAGGAAATGTTACATCTCAGTGCAGTCATGTGTGGAGAATTTTGCCCTGTGGTGCAAAGAAAAAACAACAAAAATCGCCAAAAAAATTCCAAGGAAGTTAAAGGCCTGTTCTTACCAAAATCCATCTTCTAGACGTTGGGTTTGTAAATACGACTTCTTCATTCTACTGTCAAAAGAGGTACTTCAGTCTTACTCTTTCAGACTGCCTGCTTGCATACCTCTTCGCTGCCTCCAGAACTACTGTGTATGGGTTTGTTCGACTATTAGTTATACAGGGTTATCATTGAGTGTGGACTTCTATTCCAAGAAAAGAAAACTCTTTCTAGAACTCACTCCATATTCTAATTTAAAACCATCTCAATTCAATTTAAAAACTGCAGCAAAGCAGGGAAATTCCACATAAGTATTTCCATCAGTGCAGATATCCAGCTGAGGGCTGGATAAGGTCCTCAGCAACGTAATCTAACTTGGAAGCAGACTTGATTTCGAAGTTAACTGCTGCTTTGAGTGGGCAGTGGACCAGGTGGTCTGCACGGGTCATCCGCCCATATAATTACTCTGTGTGCGTGTGTGCAGAAACCCTACGAAAGTGTGTTTCTCTTCCTTCTTCATTATCACGTGCTATCTGTGACAGCAGCAGCAGCTGTGGCAATGTTAAATGGAAACTAATAAGAAAAAAATGTACTGTAGGTCTTGTGAGATGGAACTAAAACGAAAAGGTTGACGAAGATGCAAGTTGGAAACAGTCTCAAACCAGATCCTGTAACGACTACAAGAAAATTCAGGGTCTGACCCAGACCCAGTGGGGTCAGGGTCAAGCAGTGGTCTCACTACTAAGATGAGAGAGGAGAAAGAAAAAGCAAAAATTATGTAAAGTAAAATTTTTCCAGGATCCCAGTAATAAAAAGCCTCCTACAGAAAAAAGTTAGCCACCAAATCCGATGTCACCTCCATCTGAAAAGCATTAATAGAAAATCTATCTGCCAAACCAAAATTAAATGGTAGCACATTGGAAATAGTAACGGAATCTGGTAAGTCTGAGCTGCCACTTCAGAGGAAAATGTTTAAAGGAGGTCTGAACCAAAGATTAAAGAACAAAATGCCTGAAATGGGATATTTACTTCCAATTAAAATAAACTAGTAGGTTATTTTAGAAACACTACTGACAATCTAGGAACTGAAAAAACTTAGTTTAGTCTTCAACTCAGCAGAACTATTAGTTTATTATGCTGCGTGTGTTTAATCTGACACAGTTTACACTATTAGTTCCGCCCCTGTCAAAAAAAATAAGGGGGGAAAGTCTAATTGTCTTCTTTCCATCTAAATACACATCTTCAGCACATGTTGGGATTTTTGTGCTGCCCTCTCTTCAGTGTCCCCAGATCAGTGCACTCTGAGAAGTATTAGTGAAGTATTATGCCAGAGAAAGCTCTTATAGGAACAGCCTTTTAGACAGCCCATTCCTCTCACACCTATTTAAACTCATATTTGGGGAGAATAAATGGCTTGTTTGAGCCCCCAGAGAGAGTTGGTGGTGTTTTGCTTGGGCTTGTAATCTTATGTTCATTATGTGCAGGCTATGGAAGCAAAAAGCGGAAAGAAAACTACTGAGGAGAACAAAACTTGGGTTTGTGTCCCAGCTCGCCTCTGTGATTGTCACATATGATCACACTTTGGCACATTTTTCTGCACTCAGGATAAACTGCTTCCTACTGACTGCGCACCTAATTTGTCAGAAAAGAAGATAGACCAGGCTAACAAAGGTCTCTTAAGAGGCTCCTGTCCTGCAGCCACCCAAGCATTTTCCCACTGACTTCAATGAGATTTAAAGCCAAGACAGAAACACAGGACTGTGATGGCTTACAGCACCTTAAACAGCACAGACTTCAGCGAAGATGCAGATGTTCCACACCTCTTGGTGTTAAATCCTCTCAGCACCAAAGAAAGCCTTTACTGAAGCAGCTTTCTCGTTTAAGTACTCAGAAATGCATCTGGAATTAATTCAGGCCTGGCTCCCACATAGAAGTACAACATGATTATTCCAGTGAGGGATATGATTTTTCCTTCTGGCAATGCAGTTCCTCTGTACAACCCTATTGCAGTTACATTGCTATAAATACAGCTTACAGCACTATAATTTATTTGCATTCCTATAAACACATCCTAACCAGTCAACCATTGTCCTTGCTCATTCAGTTATATTGCTCTAGCTACACGAACATAGTTAAACTCTTGGGTGTAAACAAAGCATCAATGATGATGTTATTTCTGTTTTATTCCGCTTAAACCCTCTGCAGAAGGCATCCTACAGTACTTATGTTTCTCGACCCTTAAGCTCAGAACAAGCTTCATACTAGAAATGGTCTAGTAAAATTTTTGTTCTTTAACAAACAGTAAAGCACCATATAAGAAATTAGTAAGAGCTGTCATGTTTCACTGACTATGAGTTTTTAATGAAAACTTCTTATTGCCTGAAATAATATTAACATGTAAATCCACAGCCTTAGCTTAGTAACTATTCTACTCACAGGAGATTCCTTGCAAGCATTTTCCAGTGTGTTTTAACCATATCTGTTCCTTCTTCAGAAAGATCATCCTGCAAAATTCCATCTGCATTTGAGAACCAATTCATCAACTTGATAGGGATCCACCATACAATTGCTATTTTTCAGATTAATCTGTCCCAATTTGATACAGAAGAAGCAGATTCACCTTTGTTTGACATTATCATAATTTTCAAAGCTAGTTAAAAGGACACCAGAGTCCAAACTGATTATACCACTAGGCAAAATATTACCTCAAAATTGAATCTCTGGGACCAAAAAAAAAAAAAAATCCATGACAACTGTGAAAAGCAGCAAAGCAAAAGTTACTGTGACAAAGCACTCTCATAAAAAGGAAAAGAACCAGCTTCACCTCTTTACATCAATTTGTAAGAGTGTTTCCTATGCGTTGAATTGCAGTTTTTACCTGTCATGGTACAAACCCCAGGCTCAGACATGCATCCTGAAGCCACAACAGTGACACTGGAACTGGAGTGTATGATGTGTCTTCCCATCGAATTCACGTTCTCTCAAATCTATGTCACCTGTAGTTCCTCTCTAGGTAAGAAATTCTTTAAGCTGAATTTCCAGCTGCTGTGCGCAGCAGGAACAGCATGAAGAATCTGGTGCAAGTCTAAGATTTATGCCTATGGAATGGTTATGACAATTCAACCAGCTCTGTCCCACGGCAATAGCTGACTTACTGCCTTATTAAGTGTGGAAATTGTGATCTAGTTTACATTCCCGTTATAGCTATCTCTGCTAGAGCCAGAGCTCCATGTGCTAATGTTGTAGCTTGCAAACTTGCTGAAGAAAGAAAACATTTTTTTGTCATGTGGAATCTTACGGTAGTCTAATGCAAATCTAC